CTGGCTTTATTAGGCATCAAAACGCATCAAACCCTAATAGAAATTTGTTTCTAAATGCCTCAGGAACCATACTGCGTCGTCAAAGTGGCGAAATATTCATTTTTTTATTTTCCTTATATGCGTGGTCGGACCCTCATTTTTTAGGTTTAGTTCGCCCGTTTTGCCGCTAGATGGACGCCAATTTTTTAGTCCATAAGCTGCACTATTTGTAATAGAAATTTGTTTCTAAATGCCTCAGGAACCATACTGCGTCGTCAAAGTGCCGAAATATTCATTTTTTTATTTTCCGCATGTGCATATTCGGACCCTCATTTTTTAGGTTTAGTTCACCCGTTTTGCCGCCTGCACTATTTATGTATGTAATACTTTGTAATTTTATATCTTTTGTTATTCTGTCAATAGAATTTTATATTTGTATTTAATAAAGACAACACATATAGGTCTAAAATTGACATTCAATATAGGAATAAAAGAGATATTCTGTGACATTTAATTAATTTATATCGTACGTATTTATTAATCAATTATTAAAGATTTATTTAACACTATTCAATATAATTTTTGCATTCTTAGAAACAGATTGTTAACAATTACTGGTCCTCTCTGTCTTTTCATCAGAATGATTATTCATCATATAAATTCTTGAAAGAACATCGCCACATCTACCTTCTTTGCTACTGCGCATAGGGTCAAAGTTCAAAATTGAACGTTAATTTCCTGGAGTGTATTTCAGCCCAGAGTGAAATTTTTCCACCCCTTAAACCTGGACGGCTCAAGTTGGTCTCGGAAATAGTGTTTTTAAAATGTATGCGTCGAATATCGAAGAATGGGTGTTTTGCAATATTCCCAATAACGAAAATTCCAAACGCGAGCAAATTCAATTTTTACATCGAAGTCTATGAGGATCAGTCTTTTCGGTGATTATTCCTCCGTGGCAAGTCTGATTAAAAATTTTTTTTTCTATATCCATCTGGATGTACATACGCATGCGCGTGCAAAATTTGATGAGAATCGATTGAGTGGTCCAAAAGAAAAAACGCGGACAAAGAAGTTGCAAAGTCAAGTATAAGAATCAATGACTAATATGTAATTGTAATTTAGTTTTTTCGATGACGCGGAATATAGATTAATAGGAAATAGGACATGAATTAATGAAAAATCACTCGGTGCCGGCAATTATGTTACTTTTATTGTTTAACGAACGTCATTCGAACAATGAATTCGATAACGGAAAGAAAATGATCGTTACAGGTTTGTGGAAATAATCGTTTGTACGTGTTACATATTTTTTCAGACATACTCTGTGCTCGGCACTCGAATCAAAGTTGTAGGAAGTTGTCGAAGGATGTTTCGAAATTCGTCGAGGAGAGTATCGTTTAAAATTTAAAACGTCGAAGAAGACGAATCGTGTAGCAGGGGCGAAGCTCTTCGGAGAAAGAAAAGGGCTTTTCAAAAGGCGAGGACAGCTTCGTGGTACACTGCTTCTCTCCTCGACGCACAATACTTATACAATGATCGTGTTTAACAAACGGATCGTTCGCTCACTCGACCGATTCACAATTGTATACGTTGTTACATTACAGACTCTACACGAACATGAACGAACGAAAAAAGTGAGCAAAAGTAACAAACAATGTATAGAGAATTATACATATAATCTATCGATTATTTAACAACTGAACAAGACTACGTAACACGGGTATTTCTTCTACATATACAGAACTCGTACGTATTAGTACGTAATTGGTACGTAATTAGTACGTAATTAGTACGTATTAGAACGGAATGGAATTAATTGGAAGGAAACTGTTGGAATTTCGCCGAGACGAAACAGTAAGGAAGGATCAACCGAAATAACTCTTTTATTGTCATGCTCTTTCGATAAAAAATTTCGATTCTCCGTTGGACCAAGTCGAATTTCTTCGATTCGCTTCGGTGTTTTCCTTTCTATTATTTCGTATTTAGTCAAACATTTTTCACGCGTATAAGCCGGAAACGTTAAAACGATATAACAATATGAAATAATATAATTTTCTTACGATATAAATAGTATTTTACAATTCTCGTTTATACATATAATGTACATTGTTATCAATATGATAGAAGGTATATTCATTACAATCTACGTAGCTTTTTACAATTGTAATGTATAAATATATATATATATATATATATATAATTTATATGTATATCACATATTAGTTTGTATAGATTATTGAATACGCGAAAGATTCCTCCGTTGTTGATTTGTTCGACTGGAGGAAAATCGGGGTAAAGGCTCGCGAAATGCATTGGAATCGGAACGTGTTACGGCGTTTCTAAACTCTCTTCGTACAAGCGTTGTTATTGCCCTGTAATCTCTAACGAGTAACGATGTTTCAGATTCAATAACTATAAAATATTGTCTACGGTGGAACAGAAACGACGCGTTACCATGTACTCGATATTTACATTAATCGTTTTATTATTTCTCGATTATCCATGCTTACGCGTTCCCGAATGTTCCGAAAGATTCGCACTCTTCTGTTCGTTTCGCGTTCAATCCGATAAGGGTATTGGTTAAAAACGGCGAAAGAAAATAGAATCGCACAGGTTTCGCGAGTTAAAATCGACGTCGTAAGCTTATAGTTAGTGGACAGGTTATTGCATTTGCTTCGTTTAAATAATAATGATTACGAGGTTAAATCGATGGAACGCGACTAATACTCGCTTAATACTATTCAACGTATGTAGAAATTGTAGCACCGGACAGCTCTTTATTTTTCTTTGTCTTTTTGTGATAAGAAGTAAGAATATTCTTATCATTGGCGTATGTCGCGTCCGTAAGAGAATCTTCTAGCATAACATTATCGGTACAGTTAAAATCGACGCACGATCTTTCGAGCAACGAAAACTGACTGTGTCTCAACGAGAATTTAACGCGAACGATACTCCGATCAGCTAAGCATACTATGTAGAAATAAAGTAACGAAGTAGGAAGAACGTAGAAGAACATACGTATATTCCTTGGTTCTCTAATTAATCAGAGAAACTAATTAGTCCGGGAGATGGATTCGTTGAAATTATTCAACGGTAAAGTTTGTTAATAAAACGCCGAGAGAGTATCTCGATCGAGAAGAAACGATCACGAATGAATTTTCTCTTGAACGGAATCGACGCTCTCTATCTCCGTTTTAAATTTTTGATCCGCGTCCGATCGTTTGAACGTTCCCGAGGCGTCCTGCTCCGCTTGCTCTTCCACGTTGATTTCTTCCTCGTCTTCCTCCGCAGCTTCCGCGAGTAGCTCCTCTTTTACCGTGATCATCTCCTCTTTGCAATTTTGCTGGTCAACAGCAACAGCATCAGTAGCAGCGGCGTCCCTTTTCGTTTCGTTGGCGTTCTGCAGGGTTTCGGTTGCGTCTCCGGGTCGATGGAACGTTAACGCGTGATGGTCCAACTCGGCTCTGAAGAAGAACTTGAGGAGACACTTGGAACAGTCGTACGGGCGGGCACCTAAACCGTGTTCTTGCAGCATGTGATTCTGAAAAGATATATCGATATATGTATATTATTAAATATTATGGGCACCGCGTGCGCGTGTATAATAGCGAGGCAAGTACCTGAAGACCGATTGGCGCAGTGAAGAGAGATTGACAAATGTAGCAGCTGAGAGCGGCGCATCCGGCGAATGTGTGCTCTATCAAATGACTCTGTAACTGTAACGGACTGCTGGCCTCGAACAGACACAAATGACACCTGAGAGCATCCACGGAAGTTTTCCCGGACGACTCGAGGTGATCCTTTCTCACGTGTTGCTGTATCTTGGCCTCGGTCGAAAAGGACATCTGAAATCGTGGTTAATCGTAATAATCGTGATTAAAATAAACCGAATGTTTCGGCTTACCTGACACTGTATACAGGTGTAGGTGTTCGAAGCAGCTCCGATCTTGTCGTGCTCGAGCATTTTGTGTTTCTCCGCTTGTTCGGAGTCCTCGAACTTGAGGCCGCACTCGTCGCATCTAATACCGTCGTTCGTTCGGTCCGTTTTGTCCTCGGTGTTGTTTCTACGGTCCGTTTCCCATTTGTCTCTCGAGCCCTCTCCTCCTCGAGGCGGTTCCTTGCTGCTCGACGACCATTTTAACCTGGTCGGTTCGTAAGGCGAATTCAGAATAGGCAGGCCTTGCGAGTGACGAACGTAACAGGACTTGCAGACCCTCAGGGACTGTCCTCCTCCGGTCACGTGGCTCGGAGGCAGACTGACCAACTCGTCCACGTGGTAATCTCTCAGACAGAGACAGCAGCTCGGGTTCTGGATCGGGTTCTGGATCGGCTTCTGGCTAGGATTGGGACTGGATCCGAGGCTGCGGGATCCGGCGGAACCTCGGAGATGGTGTCTGGCGTGAAGACGACACTCGAGATCGGTGATGAGCGTTTGTCTGCAAACGACGCAGGCCGCGGGTAAATGGGGAAGAGAAGCGTCGTGCCGTTGCTGAGGATCCACGTTCTCGAGGCTGTGCCTTTGCACGTGTTCGAGGAACTGCGATTCCGAAGTCAAGCATCCGCGACAGACGACGCAGCTGTCGCTCAGTCGAATCTTGCAGTGTTTCTGCAACTTGTGCTCGGCGAGACTGGCCCCGGACGGGCAGACCTCGTCGCAGATGTTGCACTTGTGACGTCCTCCGGGTTCGTTCGAAGCGTGCTGGATTCTGGTGTGAGATTCCAGCTCGGTTCGAGATCGGCACGCCTCTCCGCAATAGGCGCAGCTCATGCTGAGATTCGACAACGATTTGTTCTGCAGTTTCCCAGCAGGGCTGTGAGCGACCTTTTTGTGAGCCTGAAGTTCCGCATCGTTCGCGAACTCTCCTCTCTCGCATAGATCGCACTGCTGGGAGGCTGGCCCGACGTAGTTGGCGCGTTTGTTGTTATTGTCGCGTTGGTTCGGAAGGTTGTTGTTGCTCGATGCCGGGGAACGACCTCTTTTCTGCGATTTACTCTGCAACAAATTATTATTTTCCAGCAAAAAAGATAAGTGTCGGTTATGCTCGGTTTGGAAAGATCGCGAAAAATGGAAGGTTTCGTAAACGCGAATACGAGTAGCTGCGTACCTCTTCCTGCAATCTCGAGCTTCTGCCGATTCGTCCGTTTTCCCTGGACGCGGTCCTCGTCGTGGCTCGATGATCGCCGGAACGATGCGCCTGGGCGATGTGCCTGTCGAGCAAGAACTCGACCGCGAAACCCTCTCTGCAGACTGGACATCTGTAGAGGCTAGCGGAATGGCTGGCCAAGTGAAGTTGGAGCTCGAGTTCGGATCCGCAGAAAATCCCGCAGAAAACGCATCTGGGTCCCGAGGAGGCGGCAGCGGCGGTGATTCCAGGAGTCGAAGCTGGACTGGTAGCGAGAGGACTGCCGGCGGAGAGCGTGGCCGGCGCGTGAACGGTTCTCACGTGGTTGGCCATCTCGGATTCGCTTCTGAAGAAACTCTTTCCCTCCCCGGTCGTGTTTCCGGGCGAATTGTCTAGGTCGGGAACGGTCGAACAGGCGTTGCACCGATAGACTCGGCACTCCTGACTGTGTTTCACCGCGAAGTGAACCTGTATCGCAACCCTGGTGTCGAAGGTGTCCCTGCACAGGGCGCATCTGTAGAGATGATGAGCGTGGCTGTCGAGCAGATGTCTCTGCAGAAGATCGGGATGAGGATAGAGGTTGTTGCAGGCGCCGCAGGCGTACTCCTTGCTGACCTGGCCTAGGTAATGGTTGGTCAGATGGACCAGCATGTCCTCCTTGTCCTGAAAAGTGGCGTCGCACTTTGGGCAAGGATGCTGCCTGAGGTCGTTTCGGTGATCGGCTTGGAGATGTCTGGCCAGGTGTTCCCTGAACGACTCGAAGTCCTTGAGAGCCGCGCCGCACTGACCGCAAAGCAGAGTTCCAGCCGTGTAACTGGTCTCGGTCGCGTGTTTGTTGGTCAGATCGGCCGGCTCGGTCGGTGTTTGTTCTCTGCGCTTCTGACTCCTGCCGGTGTTCGAGTCGTAGCCGCCGTTCAACTCGGTCTCCGGGTAATCGCGAGCCTCCAACGGTCGTCGATTTTCGCAGTGTCGCAGAACGTAGTGTTCCGCGTACGCGGCCG